GCAGATGGGGATTGTGCTGAATGAAAATTAGGGTTGAAACGATGATAACACATGAGAGCATTGTGTCCTGGCTTCCCACAGAGCTGACAGGTAACTGAGGGACGTCCACCTGATCTGCCTCCTCCGCGATAGCCACCTCTTTGAGTAGACTGACGTCCTCTTCCTCTAAATTGATTTCCGCCTCATAGATTATGTTCAAACTGAGCAAATTGAACTGAGTTTTCTTGAGAATTCTGTTGTTGGTTAACATGTTGCTGATTGTTGTGATGTTGATTGTTGACAGAGAGATCTTCAAGACGAGCCAGATTAGCTGAGAAGAGTGTTGGTTGAGAAGTTTGTGACGCATCACGCAGTTTTCGAAGTCGTAGCTCCTTCGCAAGGAGAAGAGATTCAACTTCAGAGTATTTAGCCGGGTCTAAAGCACTGCGAGTAGAGATCGATGACACAGGTGACTCGAATTCCTCAGGTAATCCTTCAAGTATTACATTGATATGATCCTTTTCTGAAAATGGTTCACCAATTGACATCAGATCATCAATGATTGTCTGAATTTAGGACAGATACTCCGCTATGGATCGATCACCTTTGACTGTCAAATACAACTCAGATTTGAGCTGTCTCGCCTTAGCAATGATATTTGATTGGAAGAATTTGTGGAGTTCATCCCAAAGTTGATACGAACGAGAGCAGTGAATTACTCGAGCATGTAGACTTGCAGATAGGGACGACAAAAGCCACGAGAAGCGCATTTGATCCTACTGCTCCCACTTCAGGGAACGGGTAGCCTGTAAGTGGAAAGGGGCATTTAATGCTAAGGTATGGTGTCAGCAAGTGGGAGTATGGGCATCCAAGTGGTTCGAGAACGACAATAAGTCATATTCAGCCACGTCATCACCCCACCCCCTTTTTTATTAGTATAAACAGGGGCTCTAATCTCATGGTAAACGGTTAGCATTTTGATACTCAGAGCCTAGAATATCTTTCTCGTTCTTGTTATTGTATTACCACTATTCCGACGTGTCGTTCGAGAAGTTTCCTGTGTAATCAGCAAATTGCTTAATACAAGTGGGCTTTTGAGCATATTATTATTCACCTTTTATATTTTCTTATATCCTCGACTTATTTTCCGCATCCCTTAATATCCAAAGCGTGTGTTAGGTTTTCGGATCCGCGGGATTTAACCTCAACATACACCAAAAATGTGTAATTTCCACAACAACAAACAATGAAACTAATTAAAAATGCAACTATACATAGTAAAAATATAACAATATCAATTGTACACCTAGCTAGCACAGCTCTTTCTAATTTGGAAGAGTAGCTGGCACGCATGCCTATTTGGAGAACGAAAGGAAAAAATGTCCACGTGTGGGCGGACCCAAAGAGTTGCTTATGTCATGTATGGTCTATGGACACGACATTTTTCTTTATTTTTCTATTTATGATTTTTGCAACATTGCAGCAAAAGGTGGCATGGATAATTTGTTAGCCAAAGGTCGAAAATGCAAAGACCGAAACCGAACCGACATTTCGGTTCTCTTAAAAATGAAAATCGAGCCTGGACAAAAAATAGATTGGGACCCGATTGTTTGAGAACCAATTTTTCGGTTCATTTTTGGGTAAAAACCCGATCCATTTGAACTAAAATGAAATTCATAAATCAGGTCATGGATAATCAATAATAAGCATGCATCACAAAAACGGAAAACCCACATCGAGAATTAAAAACAATCACAAGCCAAAGTTGTTTGCATTGTAAATTAAATTAAAAAGCTGTAGTCCTAAAAACAGTCATGAAAATTAAAAGATATTCTTAATGTCACAATTCTGCCCTGACAAATGAGCAATGCAGTACACTACTTTCATCTATACATTCATCTATTGATGGTAAATTTTGTGCTAGATCATGTATTTAAAATAGAGGGACATGGGGCGTGACAAAATGTATTAATTAATAAAAATAATGATTTTATTGTATATTATGTATTAATATTATAAAATTGGTTCGGTTTGGTTGATCCGACCTTTTGAATTTCAAGAACCGGTACTGAACCGAGGTAGACCCCGGTTACCGATTTTCGGGTCCCAACTTTTTTGGATGGTGATAATATAAGATGTTCATGTACAAAGTGTAAAAACCTAAAATTTGGAGATAGTGAGCAAGTTGGGTGGCATTTGTACTCCAAAGGTTTTATTGACAATTATTATAATTGGACTTCTCATGGCGAATCTTTCGATCCATCACTTTTACCACAAACAGTAGGTTCATCTTGTAACGTCCCTACCGAGATGAGTGAGTGAGAGACTATGATGAAATGTCATGGGATCGTAGAATGGTATATGATATATACAGTGCTTCAAGTTCTCAGTTTAACCCCCACAACCTTTAACAATCCTCCCGAAGTCTCGAGCTCGTATCAACCTGATGCGAATGAAGATCTGATCTCTTATCAACGTGATGCGGATGAAGATTCAAACTCTCATATTCCTCATTTTGATGATTTAGGTGAGAGATTCAAGATGTTTTAAAAATTGTCGATCAACCTCGTTATGCTGATTGCTTGTGAGAGATACTCTCAGCTATTCACCGTTTCAAAGTTGATGAACATGAAAGGTGAATACAGTCTCCCTGAAACTTGCATGTCTAGGCTATTGCAGTCAATATATAGGAGGAATGCTACCGCATGACCATAATCTTCTTGATACATATTACAACATGAAGCAACTAATATCTCAGTTGGGATTCCTTGTATAGAATTTGATGCATGTCCTTTAGGATGTATGTTGTTCTGGAAGGATGATGATACACTTGAGAGCTGGAAGTTCTGTGGTCGAGATAGAAACAAACCTCTTCCTCAAAGACGTAAAAAACCACAAAAAAGGTGTGGACTATCTAAATTATTTTACCTCCGACTAGCTCCATGACATATACAAATGCTACTGCGAAACACATGACTTGGCATGTTGAGCACGAAACTAAAGAGGGTTTGATGTCTCACCCTTCACACTGTGAAGCTTGGAGACACTTTGACCGTTGTCATCCTCAGTTTGCAATGGAGCCACGAAATGTCCGACTTGGGTTGTATTCAGTGCTGATCAGTCAACATTTAGCTTGGTTGTCTAAAAACATCTGATTAGATTGGTCAAAATGCTAAAACTTATGTTTGATAATTAGCTGGATCGCTCAGCTGATAGATATGAAGAAGCCGAAATGTTAAACACTAGAGATGGAGCATTTTGAATGTAACGATTAGAGATTTATCTTTTTTTTACTCCATGAGGTCTGGGGGAGGGGGGCTGTGGGGGCCTGGAGTAATCAGAGCTGAAACTCACTTCATTGAGTTTGAAACTCTTATGTGCCTAGCGGGTTTCGAACTCGATACCTCCCACTAGGCACGACAACCTCATACTCTCTTCTATGACCAAAATTTAACAATCTCTTAATTTCCTACTTCAAGCTTCAATTGAATAACAAATACTTCCTCGCTTCAAACAAATCTAATTTTAGAATCTAGACGCTCAGGGAGTCCAACTACAAAGAAAGGAATGTCATATTTTTTTCTCAAATTTAATTAAAAAATGTCTCACAGAAAATGACCAATTGAATGATGAAACGTTAACAACTACGGTGATCAATCAAGTAACAAAATTACCAAGCTTGATTATAGTTTTAATTTTTTTTGTAATTATTTTTATAAAATGCAAATCGCATCTTTAAGGTACCATACATTGTCCACATGAATCAATTAGAATATTACAATTCAATTATTTAAACATAACTAAGTGTAAAAATGGTTACTTAAATCAATTAAATATATGCATAATAGATAAAATACCGCTATTATTTTTATGGGTACCGTAACATTCACCTTAAGATACCAGTAAAAGTGTCCCTATTGATAAATAAAATGAAAGGTACAAGACATTAGGGGCAGCCCTGGAGGGGAGCAGGGGCCCTAGGCCCAAAAAACGATTTTTTTAGGTCAAGGAATATTTATTTATAGTACGTAGTATGTTTGAGTAGGCTGATTTTCAGCCCAAAATGAATAATTTCGTGTAGCCCAAATGCCCAAAACAAACACGGAGTAACTAAACTAACGCGCCAAGTTCAATCCCGTAAACTGAGTACCGTAACCCTTCACCCAACGCGCTAAGGAACGGTTGTGGTTCCTTTCCGCCTTCGGTCGTTCACTATTACGGTTTTTAACAGTTACTATCGTATAACATTTTCTTTTATTATTTTATTTGATCATTACAAACATATGATTACGTGACTAGTTTATTAATTGATAAATTGATTGAATTCATAGTTGTTTAATGTTTATAAATGATTATGAATAGTTGATAAATAATGAGTTGATTTGTTACATATTAATCACTTAATTGTTGATCATTACATTTTGATTGTGGGTGTTATAATTTATTCGTTTTGTTAGGTAAAAATTTTCAATTATAATTAAATTTATAAACTTAACTAATTAATTTCAAGGCTTAATAAAAATGGGTGAATCTGGATGGGGAAAAAACTAAAGAATATAAGATTAGATAATGTTGCCCAAATTAAAGTAAAAAAAGTTCAATGCAAAAGTTTGTTTTTATGAAGACAAATTCTGAAGGTCCTCCTGCAGATAAGAACTTAGAAGAGAAGAATGATTCAACTACCGAAAACAAAACAGTTCACAATGATCATGTCCTAGAATGTGAGAATTTAGGAATTGATAATATTGGTAGTGAGCGACCAAAAAATGTTTTGGATAGATCAAATGCATCAACTTCAATTGTTGGTTCTTTGATTTTGGATGTTTATGTCCCTGCTGATTGGAAAAATCTAGATGCCAAAACAATAAATATTGTAATTAAAAAATGCCCTATTAGAGAGACTGTTATGGTTTCTTTCCGCACCTCAATTATCCTATTGACATTAAGCGTAGACATTTCTCAAATGCATACATTAAAAACATGAAAATTAAAAAAATGTGATTCGACAATATTTAATTTAACGAATTCAAGTATTTTCTTTATTATAAAGGTCGTCAAATATTATTATTTTGCAATTTAATTTAGACAGAAACGAGAGTTACAATTTTTTTTTTTAAACTTAGACCCATTTTACATTATTCCGCTCTAGGCCTTCGAATATACAGCGCCCCACCGGGTACAACTACTCCGTATCTGTATATGCATGGGTGGGACTATGAAAGTATCATTATTATACCAAAAAAACATGAGTAAATGATACGGAGTATTTTAGAGGAAATTAATAATGTTGATCTAGCTTGGTCCCATTGGGTAAGGTAGCAATTCAAGGGAAGCAACCGTTACGTTCCGTCCAGGATATGATTCGAGAAAACATGCAAAGTGCGCCCAATTAATACTTGTAAATCTCACACCGTATTAATTACGATATCGTTTATTCACCTTTAAAACCGATCAACTTTGTTAATCCGGATGTTATCGCCATGGCCACCCACCCGCCGAGCAAAACCCTAGCGGCGGCTTTCACCCTGGGTGCACCGCCCAAAGCCGCTCCCAGCCACCCAAAACCCACCAGCGCCGCCGTGACTGCCGCAACCACCACTCCCACCCTCACCTTGTAACCCGTTATGAACGACGCCGCCAGCAACGGCACCATGGCTCCCACCACGAAAGCCACCACCGACGCCGCCGCCGCTTGCATGGGATTTGCCAAAACGACGTGATCCGTATCCTCACCGTTCCCTTCTTCCTCCTCCGGCGTTGAGTTCTTGTTTCTATTCAGTTGAGCAACTTCCATGTCGCGCTGGGAGTAGACGGAGACGAACTCTCCGATGGCCATGGAACATGCTCCGGCAACCATGCCGGCAAAGCCTGTCAGGATCATGGCTTTTATGTCTTGCTTTACGGCTCCGATGCCCATCATCAACGACGCCGTCGAGACTAAACCGTCGTTGGCACCGAGAACCGCTGCTCGAAGCCATGGCGCCCGTTTCGCGTAGTGAAACCCACCGGCGCCGGCGGCCATCTTCTTGTTCTTCTTGTTCTCTCGTTGCTGCTCCATGTCATCACCATTGTTATTATTATTGGTACTTTTGGGTTCTTCTTGGAATAATGCATGGTTGGAATCCATGTTATATGACTATTAGTAGCTTAACTATTGTTTATTTGTTTAGCTATATATTCATGTAAATCAAATCACACTAGCTACGTAGTACATGGTATTTCGTGAATTAGCTAGCTACAGAAATGGATATTTAGGGAATAGGGGACCATTTATAGATCGATAGGAAATCATTTGGGGAATGTTTGGGATAAAGGTATTTGGAGGGGAAGATTTTTAAAAGGTAATTGCTCCGAAGTCCAAATGAGACTAATACACAAAAAAATGCACAGAAAGAAGTAGTTATGATTTATTCCCAAAATAAAACTCATTTAGGTTTAATTTATTGAAAATATAAAATTACACTCATTAAGAATGACACTACAAAAAACACATGATTGACATGTTTTGACATGGACTCGCCAAAATTTATAGATCAGAAAAATGGGCAGAAATATGTCAAATCCGTGCCAAAAAATTTTAAGATTTTTAACACAAACTGTTTGGCATGAAATTATCGGTAATTTTAAAAGGTAATTGCTCTGAAGTCCAAATGAGACTAATACACGGAAAAAATACACAAATAGTAGTTATGATTTATTCCCAAAATAATACGGAGTACTCATTTAGGTTTACTGAAAGTATAAAATTACCCTAATTAAGAGTGACACTACAAAAAACACATGATTGACATAGATTTTGATATAGATTCACCAAAATTTATACTCCCTCCGTAACTATTTACTTGTCACACATTCCTTTTTTGGTGTATCAAATTAGTTGTCTCATCTCCTTTTTCGGAAAGAATCTCATTCAAAAAGCAGTTACAGTACCACTACAGTACCGCTAGAGTACCAAAAATCTCTTACTTTTTATAAAGTCTACAGTAATTGTCTTAAACTCCGTGAAAAGTAAACAAGTCATCTAATTAGATACGGAGGGAGTAGATCAGAAGATTTGGCAGAAATATGTCAAATCCGTGCCAAAAACATTTTGACACAAACTGTTTGGCATGAAATTATCAGTCGATACGTGTCACATTCGTGTCAATCTCGTAATTTTTTTTAGTGTGATATCAGTGATTTATTTAGGAAACCCTCTCCTGCATTTACAAACTAACGGTTACTAAAAAGGTACTCCTTAATAAACATATTTTCAGTTAGTTCCACGATCAGGGACGAGGAAGGAGGACCCGAGGATGGGTGGCTAGGGATGAGGAAAGCAACTTTATTAAATGAAGATCATAATCTTGTGTGGCGGCATGGTCAGCGCAACGACAGAGGACGATTAGTTGGGCTAAGGAACAAGGCTGGAGATGGTTCATAAATGAGACCGATGCGTTGCTAGTTATATCTAGACTTGAGAGGGCACGTGTAATTGGTATTTCCACTTGATTATTGGAGGGTTCTAAAGTTGGTTTTACTGTCAACTTTTGATGTTGACGGTATGAGCTACCCGATCTGCGAATCGGGTAGCTCATACTTTAATTTGAGCTGTGCGGGGTAGTAATTCTTTTGATGTTATTTCAGGATGTATTAATTTAACAGTTTCCATAAAAAAAAGTTAGTTCCGCGGCTTCCGCCAAACATACACTTAGCACCGAAAGTGTCCGTCCAAATTAAATTAGCTAAATGAAAGTAAGCCAAAGTGTTCAAATCCAATAATTTAGCACTGAAATAGTCTTTAAAGTAAATGACTACACTAACTTCGGTTACAATAAATTACATATCCTTGTAATTAAAGGAAGAAATATAATCATGAGCTAGCTGCGTGCATTTAATTAACATAATAATAAGGCTCTTTTGGAGGATTGCTTCATAAACTAATTGCTTGCAAAGTTTGGATTTTTCGTCTTTTGAGCTAAAAAACATGCTTGATTGAAGCGGGCTATCAGGATCAAATCATGCACGCATTAACTACTTTATTTGGGATCTAATCTTGTTGCAAAAAAGTTGTCATGTTCAATTAATGCATGTTACAAGAACATATCCAATGCAACAATGTGCATGATACACATGTGATATGACTGATAAATACATAAAAATAAATCATTCTTGTTATGAGAGAGATTGAAAGCTTTGTCGGGACGTCGTTCGGGCAAGGACATTTGGGGCTCTTCCGGGCCTTGGTGTAGACTGCCGAGATAACTTGTCTTGCAGTTGCACTATATATGACATCTTTATTTAAATTTGTTTGTGTAGGCCAGGTTGCAGTGGCGAGTGCATGCTGTGTCACCCCATTCATCTTCCTTTATTTAATTAATTAGCAATGATGCATTGACAACAAGTCAACAACAATGGTAAAAAGATTATAGGATCAAAATTTATTCAAAATGCATAAACAAGATTACACATATTTTATTCCTGAAATATGACTCATTTGATGATCCTATTAAAAGTATAAACTTTTCCTAAGCTATTATGAGTAAATAAGTGTTATTTTGAGAAGAAAATCATGATAATCCTATATATGCACTTTCTTTGTATAATATTGTAGTCTTAAATACAAAATTTTCTAAAAAATATATTGGGACGTGTAGAAAATAAATGCAATTTAAAGACGTGAAGGAACTTATCTAATCTAATTATATAGGTGCGTAAGCTTGCTTTAATATCTTTAGGCTAAAGTGCAAAACATTGCTTTAATTGGTTTGGTCTGTCAAACAAGGAGTGTGGACGACGTACGTGTTGTAGTGCACGGACCCCATGATGCATGGATGATTATATTACCGGTTTACCATATACTCCATATACTTCATTCTTTTTTAATTTTAACAGTCCACTTTTTATGTTTGTCAACGCACACGTATGACTATTAATATCTTTTATTCTTTATTAGCAAAAAAATAAAAAAAATAGTTTTTGAAAATTTAAAAATGAGAACAATTTAATAATATTATTTTAAATTTAATTTATACTATGTAATACATAAACAAATAAAATATGATCAAAGTAGAACATATGAATAGTGCAAAAAGTCCAACATTGCATTTAAAAGAGAACAGAGTAATATTTTCCTTAGAAAATAACTTCAAAATTTATTTCATAAAATCTACACTAAAACCTGTAACATCAATGTGCTTCTTTTTCTTCCTCCTATGAAATATCATTCGAATTGACTTTATTATAAACTCCTTCCAGGAATTTACATATTTCTCTCTATCCTTTTTGAAGTTTGAACAAATATCAGTTAGACATTTTTTTTTATTTCATGTACACCCAGACATGCTCTAGTGAAATATATGTACTTCTTACGCCCTAAAATGATTCGCAACGTCTAATTTTATTGAATTGATTAGCATAGTACAGTTTCTTTTTATTTACTTATATAACATATGAATGTTTAATTATACTCCGTTTAATTTTGATTAAATGTAGTTTCTTAATATGTAATTTATAAATAAATTCCGGATTTTGGACCTCAACTTTTGGGACGGGGACCAACTGTTTTGTCCCGGTTCCAACTTTTCTTTTTTTCCATTTGAACCATTAGAAAACTTTTTAAAAAGGGGTGTGTATATTTAAAACTTGAAAAAATGTGGGGGTAAAAAGGCTTCGAATGGAGATTGGAGGGTTTGAAACCTATATATAAATGAGAATTGGATCGAGCCGAATTGACCTAGAACCGAATATATATATAGTTCACAATCCCAGATTCGATGCGTATTTTTTCTCCAAGGACCAGCCGATCCAGGACCATAACTGGACCGTGTCCACCTATATTCATAAGTTCAATTGGCATTATTTTGTACTCCCTAATATGAAACTATTTTTAAGTTCAAAAAATTCGCATACTGAATATATATTCTCTCTCTATTTATTGCTCTGACTTCTCTCTAGTTATTCTCTGAAATAACTGAATCAGGACTATTACCTTCCTATTTAAAAATTATTTTATTACCCAGTATGACTTTTATTAGTATATATACTTCGTATAAAATGAAATAACTAAAGTCAAATATGATAAATTTATGAAAAAATTGAAAATACTAATCCTAACTATTAACGGTATGTTATTAATAATCTCAACTATCGATTATTCATGGGTGGTCCCAACTATAAGGACCATTTCCCAAAAATAGTCCCTAACATGCTAACACATGGTATAGCGGGTCAAATTTAAATGTGAACTATGCGGAAGCTATAAATAATCTCAACTATAGTCGATCTTCTTTTATTAATCCCGATTATCGACTCTCAATTTTAATAATTTTTTTTATAAATTTCCAAATTAAATATTTTTAAACATGTAAAACATAATTATGAAAATTCTACAAATGTACCAAAGTTAAATAATTTTTTTTAGTCATTTTTTGATTATTTTCACTATTTTTATTTCTTTTTTCCAATTTATTTTTCCTAGTTGTGTTAACAAGTTATGATTTTGTATTATTTTCCTTTATGCAGTTTTACGTTTTGTGTTTTCAAAAAGTATATTGTGATTAAAAATTTGTTTGATTTAAATTTTTATTCTATATTTTTCATGAAAATCTATTTTATTAATTTTCATTCTATCTTAATTGTAAAAATCAAAATTATCTATTTTTTCAATTTAAGTATTTTTTATTTATTTAAATTTTCTTTATTTTATGTTATTATATTCTATAAATTATATGATATGTTTTATCATTGAATTTTAGTGATTTGGGACATGGGTTTTGGAGGTTTTGGCTATGTTAATGAAAATGTATTAATATTTTAATTTTAAATGATACATTGTTTCTACATATTTAACAATTTACATTATATCACTTAAAATTACGTTATTAATACATTTTCATTAAAAATAGAAAAAAAACAACCCAAAACATATGCCCCAAATCACTAAAACTGAACGATAAAATTTATTTTACGGTATAATTTATATAAAATAAAGAAAATAGAAAGTAATTACAAATACTGAAATCTATAAATCGGAGAATTTAAATTTTTAGAATTAGCATAGAATAAAAATTAAATAAAACATATTTTCATGAAAAAAAATTAGAAAAAAACTATGAATCATAAAAAATTTAGTCACATCTTACTTTTTGAAAATAGAAAATGTAAAATTGAATTAAGGAAAAGAATACCAAATCATAACTTGTTCACACAAACTAGGAATAATAAATTGGATAAACGATTTTTTTTATCCAACTTCACTACATTTGTAGAATTTTCATAATAATTTTTACATGTTTAAAAATATTTAATATGGAAATTTATAAAAA